TGGCACGCGACCTGATCTCAGCTCGTATATGTGGTGTGTGTGGCATGCTAATGATGTAGGGTGGGAGGGAGTCCGCGCTCACGCACTTGACCCCAACCGCACTCGTCGTCAGTCATGATGAGTCTGTTATGATATTATAGTGTATATGTGTACAGACAACGCACACTGACTGCCTGACGCAACTCATCGTCCAGGTCATGAATCATGCCTGTATTGTAATTTTGTTTCTATAATGTACTATGTGTATCAGACAGCACGCACTGAATCCTGACCCACTCGTCATCCAGTCTATGATATGTCCTGTATGTATGTATATGTATATGTGTACAGACAGCACGCACCTGAACCTGACCACTCATTCGTCCAGTCTGGAATCATGTCTGTATGTACTGTATATTATATGTTTAGCAAACACACCACGACTGACCCTACGGCCACTCTCGTCCAGTTCGTGATTCATGTCTTGTAATGTAATGTATATGTATATGTGTACAGACACACGCACCTGACCCTGACCAAACGTCGTCGTCCAGGTCGTGGATCATGACTGTATGTAGTATATGTATATGTGTAAGCCACACGCACCTGACCCTGACGCAACTCGTCGTCCAGTCATGATCATGTCTGTATGTATGTATATGTTATATGTGTTACATGACACACGCACCCTGAACCTGACCCACTCATCGTCCCAGTCGTGATCATTGTCTGTATGTATGATATATGTCATATGGTACAGACACCCAGCCCTGGACCCTGACCGAAGCTGTCGTCCAGTCGTGGATCATGACTGTATGTATCGTATATGTTATATGTGTACAGACCCACGCACTCTGACGCCCTGACCGCACTTCATCGTCCAGTCATGAATCATGTCTGTAGTATGTATATTGTATATGTGTACAGACACACGCACCTGAACCTGACCCACTCGTCGTCCCAGTTCATGAGATCATGTCGTTGTATGTATATATATATGTGTACAGACACAGCGGCACCTGACCCTGACGCCACTCGTCGTCCCAGTCATGGATCATGATCTGTATGTATGTATATGTATAGTGTGGAGCAGACACACGCCACCTGACCCTGACCCACTCATTCTCCAGTGCATGGATCATGTTTGTATGTATGGTATATTGTATATGTGTACAGACGCACGCACCTGACCTGACCCACTCATCATGGCCAGTCAATGGATCAATGTCTGTATGTATGTATATGTATATGTGTACAGACACACCACCTGCCCAACCCACATCATCGTCCAGTCATGATCTATGTCTGTATGTATGTATATTGTATGTGTACAGACACAGCGCACCTGAACCGGCCAACGCACTGGTCATCGTCCAGTTCATGGACATGTCTGTATGGTATGTATAGTAATATGTGTACATACAGCACCTCGGCCGTCGCACCTGAAGCCTGACCCACTCATGTCCAGTCATGGATCATGTCTGTAGTATGTATATGTATATGTGTAGCAGCACACGCACCTGACCCTGACCCACATCGTCGTCTCAGTCATGATCATGTCTTCTGATGGATCTCGTCGCTGGTCCCAGCATCGGGTTCGCCGCTGCTCTACATGCTGTGGTCACCGTCGTACTTGTGCGCACGGCTGCAGCGCGAGAAACAAACGAACGTATGTCGTGAGTCGGCGAAGGCGAAGGGTGAGCGTGTTAGACTAGCCTCACATCGCACACTCTTCACGATACCACGATACCGTACCGTACGCACACCATACCGTGATCGCGAGCTACTCTGTCAACCACGACGAAACACAAGAAACGCTATCTCGCGATCGCACGCTTATGAACATTCAACCGTGACGAGACACAAGGTAACACCTCCTCACGCTCACACACCATTACATCAACCGCGACGAAGTATTGCCCACCATGATCGCTGCTATTCCTTCGACCATCGCAAACCCAACGCGCCTCTATCCCGTACCACGCACGCACACTCCCGAGAGAGAGACAATGTCTCGACCCCACGTCTCACCTGCTGCGAAGGGCTGCGTGGTTAGCGCCTAGTATGAACGCCGTGCCCACACGCGACGCGAGACAAGTCTCGACCTCACGTCTCACCTGTCTCGAGGGCGCGTGGTTGCGCTAGTATAAACGCCCGCCCACGCGCACGCGAGACAACGTCTCGACCTCACGTCTCACACCTTCTGCCGGGCGCGTGGTTGCGCTAGTATGACGCCCGCCCACCCGCGACGCGAGACAAACGTCTAACCGTCACTCTCACGCTGTCCGAGGGCGCGTGGTGCGCTGTATGAACGCCTGCCCACGCGCAGACCGCACGCGAGACAACGTCTCGACCTCACGTCTCACCTGTCTCGAGGGCGCGCGGTTGCGCTGGTATATCTGGTAGAGGCAGACGATGCCGCAGACGCCGAAGCAGGCGAGGCATATCGGCACAGAGATGATGGCAGTGAGGTGCCATCGACTCAGGCTCTGGTTCATACCGGACGCCTGCTCGTCCGGATCTGCAAAAAAAAACGCCGCCACCGCCGCCGACGGATAAACGCAGTGAGTATGCGGTACCGTAGTATTATTAACCTGGTTTGCTACGCCCTTTATTGATCTTTCCCATTCTTTTTTTTTTTTACAAATTGCATCGCTGTACATTATACAAATATGTAGGCAATACATTATATGTACCAAGCAAAACAAACATTCAACGTGAAAGGTGATCTCCACACAAGCACACCTGAGCATGTAGACACCATGCTGAATTTGTAAAAAGACCCCTCTCAATAAAAAGAAGCCTACGTACTTTTCAGCCTGGGTCGGGTGAGTGCAAACAACGATTTTCTTAATTGTGGCCTTATATAGTAACAACATTATTACGAATAAACGCGGTGAGTACGCGGTAATTGTGGTAGTCACTTGGTCCGGTACGTCCTTATATAGTAACAATATTAAGGATAAACGCAGTGAGTACGCGGTAAAGTAGTAGTATCCACCTGGAGGCCGTTGTCAGAAACATTAACGTAAAGTTAATGCTAATGTTAATGCTAAGATAGCACTTAACTGACTGACTGTATTCACCTGGTGCGCTACGCCCTTATATAGTGTGATGTATCGTAAGGTGCTGCCACCTCTAATAAACAGAAGAGCATGTTCGCCCTCTCCTAACATACATGGCTGACTTAGTTGTTCTCTGCTAGCGTGGTTCCTAATAGAATGTCCCAGCAAGAGCGACATTACATATAGTAACAATATTACGGAAAAACGCATTTAGTACGCGGAAACGTAAAAGTAGCTACGGTCCGCAAGCCGGTATGAAGATGGGTCTACTACTACTATAGCTCTAGTACTACTAGTACTATACTCGACTCTCTACTTTAGGAGACTACTGCTGCTGTTGCTGCTGCTTGTGATTGGGGTCGGTGTAACTTTTCGGACTAATAAAAACGTCCTTTTTTTAAACGCCAGGACCTCGCCGAAACCTTTCGTGCTAGACTCGCGTGCTAACCCTTTCGAAACACGAACGTAGCCAGACAAACGTAAACACTCGCCCCCCCCCTTCACCTTCAACCACCCTCACACCCCAGACGTTCGCCACAGATGGCAACGCGGCGTTGCCCCCCCCCCCACCATTTTGTTTATCTTCTTGTCGGATGCCGAAACGAGGCGCGAGCGACTCTCTCGCGTTCTCTGTTTATCGTCTTAACGCAACCCTCTCCCCGCTGCTGCCGCCCGTCCAGACTGGAGTACGAACAAAGGGGAGCGGGAGGAGGGAAGAGGAGGGGGAGGATGGAGGAGGGAGAACGAGAGGGAGGAGGGAGGAGGAGGGAGGGAGAAGGGAGGGAGGAGGGGTGGAGGAGAACGAGAGGGAGGAGGAGGAGGGGAGGAGGGGAGGGGAGGCCAGGGGAGGAGGAGGATGGAGGAGGGAGGACGAGAGGGAGGAGGGGAGAAGGAAAAGGGAGGAGGGAAGGAGGGGGAAATGAGTGGGAGGAGAGAAGGGAGAGGAAGGGGCCAGGGGAGGGGGAGGCAAGAGGATGAGGAGAGAGGATGAGAGGGAGGAGGGGAGGAGGAGGGAGAAGCGAGCAGGAAGGAGGGAGGAGGAGGAGAAGGGGTGGTGCGGGATGAGGAGGGAGGAGGGAGGAGGGAGGAGGGAAAGTGGGGAGAAGGGTGGTGGTGGGATGAGGAGGGAGAGGGAGGAAGGAGGAAAGAGGGGGAGAAGGGGGTGGTGGTGGGATGAGGAGGGAGAGGGGAGAAGGGTGGTGGCGGGGTTTTCTGCATGAGAGATCGCATGCGGGGTTGCGACGTTTGCCGCTTGAGCGCGATTCCGTCCGAGAAACAGGAATGTAAATCGGCATTTACAACACTCTAGAATTTTATGGTATTGTGATAGTAATTGTTGCATAAATAATAGTATATACCTACAAATTTCTATAATCGTGCATTTACATCTCATCATAAAACAACAGGAGTTTCGAATTTTAATTTTTTGGCGCGCTGACATGACACGCACGTGCGATTGTGCTCGCACCCTGAAAAAGTTCGCATTTGCCAATATGTTTTGCATGTTACAGACCGAGGGACGATTTTTTTTTATACCATAATGAAATTTCGGACGCAATCCCTGGCTTATTGGGGCAGCGCTTGCGTGCATCACCCCATCGATCCGCGTTGGGCTGTCTGCCCCTACCGGGCCCAGCCGTCGTGGCGCGTGCCTAATCCGGTGCTCGTGCACGGGCTGCAGTTCGCGGTTACAATAAAAAATTCATGAATTTTCGATTTCGATCGCAGTTTTTCGAAATCCAGCCATCCGGATCGTCCCGCTGGGCGTGGCATGGGGGTCGATGCTGCCACACCTACCTTGCGTGGTCGTGGGCGGCGACAGCACAGGCTGCAGCGCCCCGGTTGCAGTAGTCGGTGTCGGTGCAGCACTGCACAAACGTTGCACCGACCGCATCTTCTCGTCACCTGGCAGCGGATCGGGTTTCCCCGGCGGAAACATGTCCTTCTTGTTGAAGCATCTGCGCAATCAATGAATGAAATCAATCAGTCAATCAATGAAATCAATCAAGCAATGAAGAGGAGGGTGGAGAGTGATGGGTAATTAGTTCTGGGAGGGGGGGGTTGCGTATGTGTGTGCGTGTTAGTGTGCGTGTGTGCGTGTGTGCGTGTGTGCGCCGGTGCGTGGCGTGCGTGTGTTGTGTGTGTGTGCGTGCCTGTGAGTGTATGTGTTGTTTAAGCATCCACGTGTGTGTGTGCATGGATGTGCGTGTCTGTGTGTATTCATGAGTTTAAATGCATCTGTGTGTGTGTGCATATGTGTGGTGTGTGCCGTCACTACTGACACTGACTGACAGTGGTTCACTATGCGTTATTAGATAAGTACGCACGGAATTAGGTGATACGGTGCACACGAATAATAACGTTTTTAAAAAGCGATTACACTCCTGCCATTTTTTTCATTTCGGTGAGCTTTTTACAGGTATTAGTGTAAACGATACGGGTGACTAACCAAGCATGAAGATAACAAGTAACTATACTAATTTAGAGATTAAGCATCAGAAATTGATCTATTGTGCCAAGTCAGCCACTGTGACCTTTCTTGTGATAGCCACAAAACAGCAAATAACCTGAGTAATTCCCTTAGGCAATCAGACCGTGTAACCATTTGTTACTGTTAGCAATCATCATATTAGATATCAAATACCACGTGCAACTATTTAATATAACATGCACCAGGCCTCCGTAAACAAACATTTAGCGATTGTAAAACCTCGCAGCATAAAAACACGATATCTGCCTAATGTTACAGAGAGAATAATTTGGTTATTCTATACCTCGTATTAGGGCTGTCATTGGTATGAAATTATTTCGATTCGATTATTGATATTTTTGTTTTCGATATTTCGATCCCATTCTCGGTTACTTATCTCGATAGTAATACAAAATCGTCAAAATCGGGATAGTGGTCGTTGAATTATCAACTTTATATGGCAGCGCATCTGAGCGAGTGCGCGCGTAGAGCGAGTGTGCACGATCTGAACGGCCTCAGGCACCCTGATTCTCATGATCTCATCGGTGTCGCTGCTACCATGATACCGCGATGATCAAGGATGATAATCAGGGTGGGTTCAGGCCAGCGATACATGTACATAAACGTGATGTTATACATTGTATCAAGAGCTCATAATAGAGAAGAGCATAGCTGCGTTCACACGTATACACGGCCTAGCTGGTACCGTACTTAGTTGGTGCTAAGTTCGGCTAAAATGCGTTCACACGAGATACACGAGATTCGAGCTTAGCTAGCTAGGTATAATATAGACTGGTACCCGTCGACAGTTCCACACGCTACTACTAACGTCGTGCAGCGAACGGGTAGCAGTCTAGGTTAGCGCACTACAGTTTCGCAATTCGAATGCGTTCACACGACAAACAATAGCGCGGCCAGCGTGGTGCCGAATATACGCGGCTTAGTTGGCGCGGAATATGATTCCGCGCTAAGCAAGCCGGAGCAATCGCGGCTAAGCAAGCCGCGTATATTTTAGCGTGTGAACGCTTATACGGAACTAAAATCTACGTGTGAACGAGCGTTTATGACACCGTTTAACAGCGTTTTGCATAGTTTTCAACTTGCAAATATTCTATCAAATATGTGAATACATATTCAAACTTTACTTTGTTTTCGTCTATGATTCTCCCTTAATCATATGACACCACCAACTTACCTGAAATCGTATTGTTTCTTCAAAAAAGTTCTTTGAATACGACACGGTTTCACACAGTTTTCCCAAATGATTGCAGTATCGGCGCAAGTTTTATATCGGATTATGTTCTATTGTCTATGACGCAACGCTGGGGCTGTTGGGGGATATTAGGCATCAAATTGTATTCAGCGTGTAGCTGTTCCAGCGTGCTAGAAATAATGTGTGCTCACGGCGAGCTAGCAGCTGATTTTAGCTGTGTTGGCCATCGTGTTCCTGATGATAAGGAAGTGAAACAAGTGCTTTTACTGTGCTTACCTAATATCCCCAACAGCCCCCAGCATCCCGTAGTTTCAACCTGGTGCTGCCGCCGCATACAGGGATGGAAATGACAATTTGTGTTTTCAGCTGAAAATAGGCGGGGTCCAGCGGGGGTGGGGAGCGGTCAGGTCCAGGGCAAAGCCTGGTCAGGGGGTTCAGGAAGTTTTTGAATTTTCACAACTTACAAGTTACAAGGCATAAAATTGCATTAGGAGACACATACAGAACAGAATGTTACAGAGCATATTACAGTAACACTGCAGGGAGTGATATCTTGCACTGTCATTAATCATAACACAGAATTACATAATCAATACAAAAATTTACTTACATTCTGCAAACAAAATTATTTTAATGTACACTTCCACACTGTCCCAAAGGCTAACCTTTATATAATATAATATGTTCATTGTCCACGCAGTTTCAAATTTGTTTCTGGTCCCTACAGTAGATATTTTATAATATTGAACAACTTTAGCGGCTTGTCCTGCTGC